CTTCCCAGGATCATCCAAAAAAGTCAGGTGGGGTAACTCTGGCCATGAGCCTTCAATATTTGTTGGCACCATCTAGACAGAAGCAAAGGTTCTGCACTCAAGGTAACTTTTACTAATGCCTGCTTCCCTCAACCCCCATAGTCTTGGAGCCTCTCAATTTGGTTGTCCTCCACCATTTCAGACCTAAAATGTCTCAAATTTTTCTCCCCTGTGGGCTGCTCCTCCTGACCTACCTGTCTTCATTGTTACCAGGTTCTCTGTCAATCAAGTACACTCCTACCTCTGCCTTCTTTTAATCCAGATCCTGTTTGTCTAAAGATTTGGCCATTCTGTCTTCAAAGTAGTACTTCTCTTTTTAACACAGATGCATTAATTCAAGTTTCATGACTTCAGATTTGGGTTATTTTTCCCTTTATCACATGCCATCAAAAATTTCACCTGTCATTTCCCTGCTCCAAACAGCTACTTAGTCCCCAACTAAAATGTAGTCAGAATCTGCATTTTAGTAATCTGCACTTAGAATCTGCATTTATCCTGGGCAGATAGATGCTATGCACATTAAAGCTAAGAAATCCTGCATTACATATCAAGGATCTGCCCACAAACTTTGCATTTGTTATATCACTTAATTTTGATAATCTTCTGAATTAAGCACTGTTATGATTCCCTAGTAGACGGGGAAAATTGAGGGCTATCCACTGTAAGAATGTTTCCTGAGGTCATAGGCTGAAGTTCAGAACCCAATGATGAAATACTTGCGAGCGAACAAAAAATTGAATGGGCGGTCAGGACAGGCCTTACTGAAGAAATTAAGCTGCATTCTCAAGGATTAGTGCCAATTAGCCAGGCTTCTGGAGAGGAGATAAGAATATTCCAGAAAGAATGTAACAATATGGAAAAAGGAGTAAGGTGGAAAAAAAATGGGCACATTCTCAGAATGGAGAGGAGGATTGTATGAATGCAAGGTCATGCTCAATGAGGAGGATGCTTTGAAATGTGCAGGGATTTGATTTAATTCTCAGCGAGTGCTAAGGACAACCTTGAAAGTGTTAAGTATGTGTGAGGAATGACCAGAGTCTAAACAATCTCTCTGACCAGTATAGGGAGAACAGAATGAACAGGGGAAGGGTGGACAGAAGCAGTAGGCTGGCCAGGGTCTGGATGAGGATGGAGATGATTTGACTAGGGAAATACAAGAAATGAAATGGGTGAGTCTGAGATGCCGCTTTAAAATAGAATCGACGGGCCTTGGACGACATCTGACTCCCCATCTTTAACACTAAGGCCAAGGTCACTGCATGGAGAAGGGTAGGAGCACTGTTTTCTATCTCTACCTATCAACAGAGTCTTCCCCCTTCCTGCCTGCCTCCTTCCTCTCTCTCTCCTGGTGGGATTGAAATTGGAACACCATAACAACATGTGAACTAGAGACAGTCTGGAAGTACAGGGTGAACCATGCTGTGCTCTCCTAGTGATGGGGGCAGCTGGACCGCCTTGAGTGTTTTTTTATGCTCAGAGATTATTGGTCCTGGGAAAGTTCAGATCCAGCGAAGAGCAGCTAGTGCCCTCCAACATGTCTCATGTGACGCGTGGAATGAATAGAACTGGACGTTCAGGTTTGAGGCTCGGCTCTGCCCTGATTCCTGGTGGCAGAGCAGGAGCTGTGCTGTCTTCCTGGGCCAGTAGGAGCTGAAGGACAATCATGCTTCAGCAATTCTCCCCTGAGCCTGTCAGCCTCCAGCACAATCAGGCATCTCTGACTTAATGATGCGACAAATACGGAGAGCTGAGAAAAATTTTCATAGATAACAGTGTTTTAGGGTTAACCAAGTTCTACAAGAAGACTGCAATTCTTAGCCTTCATTTTAAAAATTCCACATTTCTCTCTATCACTGAGTCACACACCCCAGTTCTTTTTTTTAATGTATTTTGATTTTTCAAATTTTGAGATAGGGCCTTGCTAAGTTGCCCAGCTTAATCTTGAACTTGTGATCCTCTTGCTGCAGACTCTAGAGTAGCTGGGATCATAGACATGTGGCACATGCCACTGTGCCCGGACAAAGTATGTCATATTTTTTGTTTGATTTTTCTTCCTGTTTCTGAAACAGTATCCTTTAGAGAGTGGTAGATGGTTGAAATTGGGGTAAAGAAACAATTTTCCTTTTATGCTAAAATAACAATTTTCAACACAGTCACATACAGAATGACTAAGGACCATTTTCTACCTGCTAAATAAGAATGTTTTAGGGATTTTAATTCAGAGCTATTTGCGAATACATCACAGATTTCATGTCTATTGATTATTTGCATCTAGAGCATAAAGTTGTATTTTTACATTCAAATCCCAGGAATTTCTTACCACTAAAGATGTATGAAAACACATATAAAGCTACGTTCTTTTATCACATTTATTTTTCTTTTCCTAGAGAGGAAAAGCTCTGTTCTTATAAACAACATCAATTTAATTCATAAACTAGTACATTTGTAAGTGGGATCATCTGTAAGCAGAGGGGCATTCAGGAACGTATTTCCTAAAGATAGTTTTTTTTTTTTTTTCAATGCAAAAGGATCAGATAGATAGTGATGGCTGGGCTGGTATTTTTTAGCTGGAGGATTTGTGGTTGTTGTTTGAGGTTATGCATTTTCTCTCTTTGATGTCATTACACAAACCTCTAGCATCCCCCTCCCTTGTTAAAACACAGCAACAATAAGATTAACCTAGTGGGTTTATTTCTCATGTGTGCTCAATGTCTTGCATGGATCCTACTGATCTTTGGATTAATGTATCTTTTGACCACCTTGAGAGTGATACAGGGCACATTTTCCCTACAGCATCCTGAAATTGGAAGGTAAGGTTCCTCACTGCCAGGGTCAAAGTCTGGCATATGAGCCCATAGCCTGATGTAAATGCTCAGGTTAGTGTATAAGCTGGGAGTATAAGTGTGTGTGTGTGTGTGTGTGTGTGTGTGTGTGTGTGTGTGTATGTATATTATATATATATACACACACACACACACACATACATAGACAGATAGATGCACCCACACACCCACACAGACACATATATGTGTGCATATGTATTTTTTTTCCTCTGAAATTTTTACATGAAGTTCTTAAACCAAAAGGGTGATCTCTTCTTATACTCTCTCTTACCTTTCCTTCTCTATCTCTATTACCTTGAGGATACAACATCTCAATGATTTTTAAAAATCTTTTAGAAAACCAGTAGAGGCATTCAGGAACTTTCGGCCATAGGAGAAGTGGCTTGCAACTTTCTACCTTTGATCTTGGATTTTTCTCTTCTAAAGAGTTTCTGATTGTCCAACTCTACTAAGGAGTTGCTGAGCTGTTCTGGAGATGAACACTAGCTTTTCTGTTGGAAATTCAGTTTTATGTGGTCTTGGGATGTCATTTGTGTCTTCATTTACAGATATCCCCTCAAGCATTTACCTGGTAACATACACCTATTAAGCATTAGTTGATTCAAAGATGAAACAGAGCTATCAAAGAGTGTGAAGATGATCTGGTTTAACGTGTGACCTTCACCTWGGAGAAATCTAGGGCCCAGAGACATAAAGTGGATTGTATAAGCCCTGGAGTGAGGCAGTAAGATGACCAGAGCCAGAACATCTGCATGACCACTTATAYACCCCTGGAAAGCCCCTACAATTAATTTATATGGCCTTGCTTCCTTCCCTGTGCTTTTATCTTCTATTTCTGTGTAAATTCCTCACTTTCTGTTTCTTCCAACTTGCGTTTTAGAAGCACACCTCATGGATATCTTCAACCCTCTTCTTTAACTTCCGGAATGGAAGTCTGGAAGGGTTGGGTCAGTAATCTCCAAATAAATGACTGAGTAAATGACTACCAGGGCTCCTTCTTTCTTTTCTATGCACCCCAAGCCCCACTCCCAAATTAAAGCACTCAGCCAAAACTAACATGTTCTTTGCATAAGAGTTGCAAGGACACAGTAGAGATTCAGCACACCAGCCAGGCCAAGAACATAGTAGCAATGTTTGTACACAGTTCCCAGGGAACTCTGCTGAGATTTAAACAAAACAAGTATAATGCAATACCTTAACCTCTTAACAATATTTATTTAGTTACAGAATTGACAAAAAACCAGGAAACATTTACCTGAAAATGGCCTCTTACTCATCTTCTCTACACACATCTATTCACCTATCTACCCGCCAGTTTGCCCAATATTCCTGCTGTATTATTTTAGAATGGAGGTGAGCAGCAGGTTCTAAGGAAACACAAGGGCAGCTCTGTTATAAATGGAGCACCTTTACTGATGAGATAAACCACACAAAAATCTTAATCTGATAACATCCATTTCATAAAACTTCGTAGTATATAAATAACATATTTTAAACATTGAAAACATACTCGTATATGATTATTTTAATGTTAGAGTAACCCCTATCATTTCCTTTTAATTCCTCTTCTTTCCATTTCTTAATGTCAAAAAGAAATGGCAGAGCCCTGTATAGGGATGCTTCTTTGTAATCCCATCTGCTTTGGAAAGCCGAGGCAGGAGAATTGCAAAATCAAGGCCAGCCAGAGCAACATAACAAAAACCATCTCAGAAAAAAAAAAAAAAAGAAATGAGAAATGGTAGGGATTACTCATGCATGTATTAGAGAGTGATAATTATTGCTGTCTTTGTGAAACATTGGAAAAATTATTCTATCATAAAAACCAGAAGCCTTGAATCTATCTCCATATTCACCAAGTGTGAAAAATCATAAAGTCTGTTTTTTTTTTTTTCCTACTCAGATGGCAGCTGTAGGGCAAAAATATCAGACTTCCAATTAGTTAGCCATGACAAGTGATGGTGAGTGAAACGCCATGCAGTGTTCACAAATCATGTGTAAAACAGCCGACACCACAGGCTGCGTCAACGGAGGGCATTAAGGGCAATTTCTTGGACTGTGACAAAAGTAGCCAGTTCATCTTTCCCCACCAGATTCAGAAACCAAATTGCAAGCCCTTACCTTGGAGGGCCTGTAATCTGTGAGTCTGGACGATAATGCAGAGCTGCAGGACCAGCTGTGGAGCACTCTCCAGAAAGGTGGCTAGCAGATGCAGCATGCTCACATCGGCATACTCATACACCATTTTCCAGTAAAACCTCCATCTGTCATTCTCCCCACTCTGTCGGCTGCGAATACCTAAGTATATTGTGTGGAAATATCTAGAAGGAAAACAGAGAGAACAAGAAAGAGATGCGTGTCAATTTGTAATTCCAACTCCAGAGTTGTTTTTCTCTTCTGCAAGTCACCKTAGGCAAGGACACACATGAAACAATTAACGTGGTGACTTAACAATTAAACCTCAAAGTTACAAGTACCATCCTCCTTTAATGCTGACTTTTAGAAGTCACCACAATTTCAGTCCCCCCTTGAAAGGCCTTCCATTGAATTGCAATATAAGAGTGAGGTGAATTTTGATGGGACCTCAGGTATGGAATAGATATGCTACTTTGAAAACCTACACATATTGTTTCTAGTCATATTCTCTGAGTGCCCAATAGTTACCATGATGTGAATTTCTCTTAGGACACAATGTAACTCTAAAGTACTGATATATATGTTAGTGCTTTAAAAAATCCCTTTCATAATACTGAAAATCTCAAACATATATAAAAGAAATAAAAACAAAGTTAATGATTCCACTATACTTTTCACCAAGATTAAATATTTACTGATAATCTTCTTTCATATATTCTTGCACTTACTTCCTGATAGAACATTATTTTGAGCAAACCCCACACATCATATTATTTCATCTGTAAGTATTTTATTAAAAATTTAAACCAACATCACCACACTTACAAATAACAAAAATGATTTCTCAATATAAATTTCTTAATATAAATACTCCCTGTTTGTATTTTCCCGAATACCATGATTTTTAGCAGCTTGTTTGAAATGCAGTCTAAACAGGGTCTATATCATGGTGATTATTTGATATGTATCTTAAGCCTCTTTTACACTATGGATTCCCCTTCCATTTAAAAAAGATTCTTCTTACATATTTTCTCTTGGGTTGATTTTGTTGATTATATGATGCAGTTAATGTACCTGTCTTTTATGTTTTCTGAAAATGAGTAATTAGTGTTAGAATTTGGATGAGATCCAAGTCTGATCATTTTAGGCAGGTGACAATGTCTACTTTCATAAGGAGGCACATCTTGATTTTCTCTTTGATTATCACCCGTTGATGATATTGCAGTTAAGTTTGCTAAATGGTGATATTCTGAGTCCAACACACTTTTGCATATATTGACCAGAATAATACTTCTCCGGGCCTTTTGTCAATGTCTCTACAGTATTTGGTTGTCAGGAGCTTGCTTTCTGGTAGATCCCTCAAGAAACTTAGGGTCCCGGAGTTCTTGTGTGTTTGCAACACTACACAATGATCAGACTTGCTCTAGGTGGGGATAAGGTTCTTTTGGTTACACAGACCCTAAAGCTTCACTTTTGGTTGGAGATAGGTGTCCACTTCTGGAGTCTGTGAAAGAACTGTGCTTGTCTAGCACAAAGATTCTCTGATGCCAACAGGAGGGATACCGAAAGGAAGCAGAAGATCAAAAAGCCAGAACAACTTTTTCACTGGAAGGACAGCTGAATGGATAAACGAAATTATGCAAATTCCCTGGAAGGCAAAAATCTACTATTTATTTACTTATACATCTTAAATCTATCATTTCCTTGTTTACTAACAAAGAATTGTCACAGAAATGTTTGCTAGAAAAACTGCTATTCTTTCTGTTATAAGCTGTTGGATCCTTCCGCTTGGCTGCCCAAAGAATAGTTTGTTTCTTTTTTATGTTTTGTTTGTTTCATTTTGTTTTGGTTTTGGTACCAGGGATTGAAACCAGGGGAGCTTAACCACTGAGTCACATGCCCAGGCCTTTTGCTTTTTGTATAGTTTGAGACAGGGTCTCACTAAGTTGCTGAAGCTGGCCTTGAACTCTCCATCCTCCTGCCTCAGCCTCCCCAGCTGCTGGGATTTCCAGTGTGCACCCCTGYACCTGTCTAGAATGTATCTTGATGAAGGCTATTCTGCATCAGTTTTCTCAAAGATGTGATCTGCCTGTTCATTACAGAGCTTCAAGTTTCAATATGTAGTTGTAAGTTTTCTTGAATTAGAGTGTTTAGTATTTTTTCTAATGGGTTGCTTTGGTGTTTATTTTTGAGGACTCTTATTTATATATGTATGTTGTATCTTCTTTATTTTCTGTGTCTGTTTCTTTGGGATCCTTGTAGTCTCAAAATGGTTTTTGATTAGAAGCTTTTCCACTTTTCCATCTATCTTTTAACTACAGCATTTGAATCATGCCATATCCCCTTTAGTTGAATATTCACTGACCTTTTTTTTTTATTAGAATTCTATGTTGAGTTCTATCCACCTTCTTATCAAGTCTTACCTTTTCTATGCACTTCTTTTTTGAATCTTTCCAATTCTCACATTTTTTTCATAGCTTCTGTGATTTTCTTAATTTCTTTCAGCTCATTTTGAAATTTTTACTCATTTTTAAAAATCTGGTTTGTGAATGCTTTTTTTTCTGGTGTGTTATCATTGTCTGTAGGTACCTTAATAGTTTTCTTATTCTCTTCTTATGATAATAACTTTGATCTTTTTGTTCTTGCTGTTTTAAAAGTTAATTCAGTTTTCAAGCATTTTTAGGATAGTTTGCTGGTTTTACCACTCAAGCACATATTCATCCATTGTTCTCATTAAGTGATAAAAAATAAGATCACTTGTTCCTTTCTGACATGAGCTGCCTCTGTTCCCTCCCTTTCTGTTCCTTCTCTTTCATTTCTTGTGGTTGATCCTGTTCTGCTCAATTTGGAATTGATTCCTAGCTGATTCTGCTCAATATGGAGCCTTGTTTTGGGAAGGGGGCTCAGTTCATCAGTTATTTGAGATTGGAGGACCTGCATAGAATGGGACTTCAATGCATTACAGCCTCTTTGGACTCACCCTGGCATTGGGTCATGGAGAACACCCTCCCACTCTCTCTTGCTCCTCCTGACCCACTGTACTTGTCAGTAAGTACTTATTGTGGGTTAGGTAGTTCCCTTCTCAAGGTTAACCCTCTACTTTGTCCTGCATGGTTGTTGGTACCACATGGTTCTTAGAAGCTCTCACTAATTTGTTCTCAGGTGACCAAGTGAGTTTCTCAACACAGAGTTTAACTGCAGATATTGTCCACAATTTTTTAACTTTTGCCAATCCAGTTGCTCTGCTTATTTCATTGTAATAATTTTGGTAGATTAAAAAATAATCTTGCCACTACTGGTATCTTTTTAGAACATTACCATTTAAAAACACAAAACAGAGCTAATCATTCCTTTGGGCCTTTGATTGCTACCAATTGAAATTTGCAATAGTGAAGTTTAGAGACTTTTCAGGCTCATTTTTTTTCTTGGAATAATCTTGGAATATATATATATATATATATATATATATATATATATATATTTTTTTTTTTTTCTCTTGGCATAATCTTGTATATATACACACACACACACACACACACACACACACACATATTAGTTGTAGATGGACACAATATCTTTTATTTATTTATTTTTTATGTGATGCTAAAGATCAAACCCAGTGCCTCATGCATGCAAGCAAGCACTCTACCATTGAGCTATGACCCCATCCTGGCAAACTAATTTTTGCACTAAGAATTTCATTCAATCATCATCAGTCATCACTCAATCCTTTGTGCACATGGACCCCTCTCCCCATTAATATTAGTTTCCTTGGGTTTCTTTAATAAATTATCACAAATTTGTGGCTTAGACAAAATAAATTTATTATTCCCCAATCTGAGATCAAAGTGTCATTAGGGTTGTTTCCTTTGAAGGCTACAAACATGCTTCTTTCTCATAGCTTCTGATGATTTGCTGGCCTTCTTTGCCATTCTTTGGCTTGGACATGCACCAACCCAATATCTGCCTCTATCTTCACATGACATTCTCCCTGCGTATGTCTAAATTTCTCCTTTTCTAACCACATGGTCATATTGGATTAGGACTCATTCCAACAATCTCAACTTGTTCATCTGCAAGGATCCTGTGTTATCTCCAAATAAGGTCACATTCACAAGGTGAGAGTTAGGGCTTCAACACTTCTTGGGGAGGACAAAAGTCATCCCTTATACTCTTCTGTCARTGCTTGATCTTGTTTCCCCTAGGACTTCTCCCCTTTAGAGATTTATTAGTGTGCATCTTATACTCTGACCTTCCCTTGAGATCCAGATTCACACGTGCACCTGCTTTCCAGATCTCTCCATGAGTTTTCCTTCCCCTACACTAGTGATTCACATCACTATCCATCAAGTCATATGAGTGAGTCCTGGAGCATTTTAGGCTCCTAATCTTCCTTTCCATTTATTTGATGAGGACTATATATTGGAAYTTTTATCTCCTTATTGTTGTCCATTTTCCCTGTCTTTTCTAAAGGCTGATTCTCTGGGTTTCTGTTTTGTGTCTGTCACTTACTAACAGTATGACCTTGAACTTAACATCTATCAGCTGGGCAAAATAATAGCACCAATCACAGAGGTTGATCTGAGAATTAAAGTAATACAAGTGAAGGGCTTATCTCAGCCCTTGGTAGATGGTAGGCATTCAATAAATGTTTGTTCTTACTATTAATTGACTTTGAAATCTCGAATGGATTCTTCCTATTTAGCTTTCAGAGTGAACTTTCTATAACAAAAGTGGAATCCAATCTCTCCTATCTTAAAAACATTAATGACTTCCCATTGCTTAGAAGATAAACAGTAAATGCAAGCAATGTAAATAATGGTTTTGAAATCTTTTAATTCAACTTTTATGTTCTGACTTTGGTCTATACCCACTCTTTCCCATGTTTTATGGTCTCACCATATTGAAGTACTTGCTCCTCCTTGGATATGAATCTGTACCTTGATACCTTCATTGCTGCAGTTCTTTTGTCCTGGAATTCCTCTCCACATTCCTTATCACCCTGGAATGACTACTAAGTCTATAAAGTCAAATGTCACCTGTTGCTCACCTTCTCCCCAGGTAGAACCAGGCATTTTACTATTTGTGCTTGACTATCTTTATTCAGACTTTCATAAGGGGAAATAACAYTAATTTTGTATTTATTCATCTGTGTGTTAATCTCAAATCCCATAGTTACAAAGTC